ACAAAAGGCCAAGAAAATATGATCTTTGAAAGACTAAAGACATTAAGGAAAATGAGAGTGATAAATGATAGCTGGACTCCAAACACTTATGAAGTTGACAAAATGGGAGATATATAGACTTGGGATAAGATCGGACGTGATGCTTATTAACTCTTTCACTTCCTTAGGGGTTACTGAACCACAGTACACCTGAATGACAACCTCCTCTAAAACATGAATCTTCTCTAACTGCAAGAATAAAAAAAAGTGTAGATAAAGAATGGAATCATCAAGTTTCTTGCCCTGTGTCAGCAAAGGAAAAATTCATTTAGCCGGCAGAACCTTCAGAGGCAGGAATATTGTAAAGCATTGTAATGGGTTAGCACAAACTTGAAATGCATTGACTGGCTATAATTTGATTGAAGAGATTATGAATGTGGATTGCATGATTGTACAACATAATTTATCTTCCTGACCAGTACTTGATACAATGTCTATTAAAGTGTTATCTGCCATAGCTAAAGATCTACAGACAAATGTTAACCTTATCCGAGTTAACAACTGAGATAATTTTACACAATTATATTAAAAATCCCATTAAGCACACTCTAAAGAATTCTTCACTCTTTGGTATGGGATGCAAATAAAATGTGCTGATTAAACTCCCAGAAAGCTTAGTCCTTTTTTTCGCCATATTTATTTGCAAATGTGAGAACTAAGCTGGGGTTTAACATTTGGAATGCATGGAAGCCTTGAGTCTTGATATGATGCCAGTAAGTTCTCTGGCTCAATGAAAAAGTCCAAGGTGGGTTATAAAAGGCAGCAAATATACAACCCTGTTTATTTGGTTTATTATGGTCTTCTGCAATTCATTGATTAATGCATTAATTTTTGTTGAGTGAATATGGATTATTCTTCGTTGCGTTGCTGTTTTTATTTTATTTTTTTCTTCTCTTTTTTTTTCTTGCAAAGCATACCTTTTCTGGGGTTGAAAAAAAGAAGAGTGAAGAAGGAAAATTCAAATATTAAATATAAGTTGTTTTAGATTTAATGATTTTCTCACAATTATTAAAGTGAGGGGTTGAGGTGGACATATTTGAGTGGTGGTAACTAAGAGCCCAGGAGACTCGGTATCTCCAGAACCCTATGGGGCTCCCAATAAGCCAAGTATATAAGTATATACTATATAATTATAAAAGTATAAAGCATATATACTGGACATCATCTGGGCCCTGTCGGCAAATAAAAAAGATCCAAGAGACTGGGTATTTCTTGGGCCCTATTAGGCAAGTTTGAAAAGGCTCAAGAGACTAGGCATCTCCTGTGCCACATCTTATTACCCTTAACCCCACAGTCGATGGGGTAAAGGATTATGTAGAGACCTCTTGATGAGCCTGTGTGTGTTATTATGGGCCACTGGGCATTACACACTTATTTTCATTTTATTTTTAATTCTGCACCTTTCAATGCTGTAACATATAGCAGATGCCTACTGACAAGGGCCTTGATTTAAGATTTTTTGAATTTTTTTTCAAAACACGAAAATATAAAAAAATATATCATATATAAAAAAAATATCAACTATATCAATAGATAAAAAAAATCAAGATATTAAAATACTAAAATATTTTTACAATTTGAAAATTGTATCCAGAAATATTAAATCAAGGCCATGATTGAAAAATAGCCTTAATATGACAAATATATATATTTTTATTTAAAAATTAATTATTTTGAGTACTGATATATCTTCAAAAGTGAGTCTGTGAACTCACAAGCTGCCTGAAATTTTTTCAGAGTCTGCCATCTACTCAATCTTGGATGTCTTTACTGTTCTTCTCCTTAAAACTAAAATTACTTTGTTTTACACAAATCTTTTTGAAACTGCTAGAATGCCAATGTATACAGAGATTGAATCTGTCAGTGAATATAGCTTTTTTCTGCGAGGCACTAATTGCAGTAAATTTCTTTTTATGTATACCTTGAAATGATTCATTTACATTCCTGTGTTTACAGAGAACAGATCATTTCTGAAACCTTTTCAGAAAATGATTGCACAAACGGCATTATTTTTTAAATTTAAAACAAAATTTACTTTTCAATCAGACTTGGTAAAAGAAAACATATTGTTCGGAGATGTCCCTATACCTTTAATTTACTATTCTAAAATGCCTAATAATTATATGACATTATGCAACAATAATTCAACAAGTAACAGAGGCTCTCTGAAGACGTGTGAGCTAAGCCTTTCTAATAATTAGCTTTTTTTAACGCAATCATATTGAGGAACAAAATCTCAGGTACGCATAAAAAATGGACACGGCAACGTTTTGACCTGTTCCCAGGTCTTTATCTGTTTTATGGGGTATGCTGACCCATACTCAGTCAGCACCCTGTGGTTTATTTGATTGAGTGCAACCCTCTTTTTTTCTTCTGGCAATCATATTGAGAGTTGTGTACAGGATTACACAAACACAACATGGCAGTGGTGTTAAGAAAGGAACATGTTTCTGTGCAAAAGTACCATTATTTAAAAGCCTACTCAATATTAGAGCACAACTTGACAATACAAATTATGTTTTACCATGTCTCAACTTATAACAATGTTTCATTGCATGTCAAACACAGTGAAATAGCTTAACACCACATAGTAAATAGAAGAGCAGGACCCAAGGGTTTAAAAATGCTCTTAGCTTGAGAGGGAATCCTGTAGTTTAGCTGGTAGCTCCTACATAGATCTGGTATAGCTCACCTTTCTAAGTAATGACTCTAAATTGAGAGTTCGAGAGTCACAATTTTTTGCAATACAGATGTGGACCATGATTCAGACACGATGTGTAATGTCAATCACATTCCGCAAGAGTTCTAACGGGATGACTCTGGGTTCAGTGACAAGAGTAATACCTAAGTTATTAACTGAAAGTGGTCCAAAATAAGAGAGAGAGAGTGTGTGTGTGTGTGTGTGTGTGTGTGTGTGTGTGTGTGTGTGTCTAGGGGATATAGTGCATTTGTGTGCAGTGGGAGTGTGTGGGGGATGTAGTGACTTAAAAAGGGTCTGTGTTTTGTGTGTAAGAGGGTAAGGTAAGGCTTTAAATTGTGGGTGCATTTTATTTTAATTACTATTATTATTATTATTATTATTATTATTATTATTATTATAAAAATAATTCTAATGTGTATATAAAAAAATAACAATGTTTACCTATTGTTACCTTCATACAGGGCGAGGTGACATGCTCAACCCTAGTGGTCCTGAGTGTACTATATTCATTTAGAGCTTCTGGTCTACTCCCTGTGCTGGGTACAGACCTGGCACATTTCTCTCACGAGCTCCACACTGAGAGTATCAGAGCTTTGCTGTGGTAACTCACAGCAACACTGTATGGTTCAGAGCTTGCAGAATGTATACACCAGGTCTACATTTAACAAGGGTACAGACCAGAGGCTCTTTCTGCCACCTAATTTTTCCTACAGTTAGTGTGATGGGCCCATGACAAAGATTAAATATCTCCCCAGTGGCCACTCTGCATCAGCTGGTGGGGGTGCATTCTGCCTGTGCTACCTTAGAGTAGCAATTCTCTATATTAGCAGAGTGACAGTATGTGGGGCCACCAACTGCCTCCCCCATGACATGTCTCTGTCCCTACCATTGTGTCTCACTATGCTCGTACGTGTTTTGTGTATATTTAGCAGTGTTTGGTTTATTCACTAAACATTGACCTTTAGTATACTGAAATTTAAAATTGCAAAATGTGCTGATTTGGAAAAAGATTCCAGCTTGTCTAAAGTCAAAGCTTGTTTAGCCTGCATGTCATAAATCAGCTTTAAATTCACAAAGATTATTTTGTTGAGATACCAACTCAGGCCAGTTGATGCATATCACTGCTTCCAATCACTTTTTGGACTAATGTGGAAGCCTTTGTCCAAACAGCAGAGAGAGGCAACGTTGCAGGCACTAGGGGACCGTAATTCAGTGTCAAACCAATCGTAAATGGTGGATAATGGGATGGAACCAAGGTGACTCCAGGCACCATAACCACTTAAATCAGATTAAGTGGTTATGGTGCTTTGAGTGACCCTTTTAACAACAATATTCACCCTAGGGGCAAACTCTACCTTCTCTGAACAGACACATGGGTTTCATCTACCACATGAAAATGTACACCATGGTGTATCTGTATACTTGCGACCAGTTTACCGTAGGTATATATGAGATGGATGCCTTGTTTATTTGTAGTGCATTTAACTGGAAAGTATAGAGTCATTTTATTTACTTATTTGGTGGGGGGGGGCCGGTGTACTTATAAAATAACTCTTGCCCAGTCAGATTTTTCATTAAACTGCCAAAGTTGCAAGAGGCATTTATAATTTATTGCAAAATTTAAAAAAAGTTGTAACATTTTTTTAATATTGTCATGTTAGAATTGTCACAATTAAATATTGTAAAAAAATAAATTTACAAAATACTGATACTTAGTAATATAGAAAAAATATATATATCCGAATGGGCAAAAAAATAAATATTTCTTGATTTCAAACACCTCTGAATATTTTTTAAATATATTTTTACCTCTGATATAGCATAAGGCTCGCTGATGTTAATTCAGAGCTGAGCAATACAGGACCAAGAAGTCAGAGCCCTTGAGTAGAAGATGTGTAGCACATCTGACCTTTATCACTCAACAAACAGTTTCATTTGTATTGTCTACTGTCCATATGAGAGCAATCAGAACAATGTTAAGGTTCAACAGAAAGTATAACTGTCTCGACCTATCTATTTAGAAAGAAAGTGAAGAAGTGAAAGGCCTAGTGCATTCATGGTTTATTCCCTGACAGTATCCATCTTTCCAAATTGATTTTTGATATCCATAGTGACCTGGAAGGGAGACACAGCGATAACTCTCAGAAACTGGAAAACAATATTATTCTCACAAATATGAATTACTTGCCGGCAAGTTAAATCTACTGTGCAATGAATTATGTGACCCTGGGGCTCCAATAATTCTTTTGTGTTTCTATAGAGTCGTGAAAGGACCTGTGAGCCTGACAAGCACTTAACAGCCAAAATCAGTTCTGAACAACTCTCTCGGACATTTGATTTAGCCGTCTTAAGCATAACGTTGCCAGTCAATTTTACTTATGAAGAGAAAAATGACATTGATTCATTTTCGAAGTCCTGAATTTTATTCGCTGATTGCATTGAAATTTTTTTTTTATCACTCTGTCAGATTTCTTTGCGTGGTTTGTTTTTATTTAGTTTGTTTTGTTTTTGTTTGTTTGTTGTTGTTTTTTTTTCATAAAACCACTTAAGTCCCATAAATGAAAAATGACATAAAAAATGAGAGCTAGAAATTTCAATTCATAGGATTACGTGTAAGTCAATTCCGCTGTGTTTTCTGAAATAAGTGTAGGAATGGGGCAGTGTCTCCTACTGTGAGGGCTTGATCTAACCTCTGGAATTGTTTTTCCATGACCACCGATCCCCAATTTGTAGTATATAATTTAATTTACCAGTAAGTAAAGCAAATACACTTGTTTAAAAAACAAAGACAAAGAGTTGCACTGCCTTTAGTGGACCATAGACATATAACTTGAAAAATAATGACTAGCCAATGTAATTGATAGAATTCTAAAGATAATATGAAAAGTACAGGCAATTTCAGAGGAAAAATCTAATAAAAAAAAGCAAAAAATGACATAAATAAATAGCTAAAATAATTAATGCGGTTAAATGTTTTTGAAATGCTTGGACATTGAAATATATGTTTCATGTATGAAGGAGTATTTACTACCATGAAAAAAAATGCCAATATTAGAATCAAATGGACGATCTAAGCACCAGAACCACTGCAGCTTAACGTATTGGTTTTGGTGCAAATAGACTGTCCTTCCATCCGTTCTCACTTGTAAACATTGCATTCCCTGCCAAAAGACAGTGTAAAGATTTGTAAAACAGAAAAGAAAAAAGAAAGGTTGTGCCTGGTGAAAGACTAATTGTTGCAATAAAAAATAAAAATAACAGTCAATAGCAGATATTTCAGTATGCTCCTGAATATAATAATTTTGCAGTTAAGGGAAGGTGGTTTCACTTCTTATAGATGCTTGAGGTATTTGCAGGGGAACATGTAAAGAAAACCAGAAAAGAAAAACCAGTAGTGCAGTATATCTAGGTAAGTGCAGTTTACACAACAAACGAGATCGTGATTGCCAACTCACATGTGGTAGAGCTCAAACCCAGCTCCAGTATACACAGCGTGCAGTGATAGAAATACCCACTGATGGATACAGCAGAGTCTTTATGTGGTAATGTTGCAGAAGAATAGGGACCATAAAAAGCAATAAAAAAAAATACTGCTCCTGGCTTGCTAAAACAACAAATGAAACCTGGAGCTTTACTTACATTTTATAGAGCAGGCAATACTGCTCTATGATTATAGCGTAGGTCAGGGCAAGGCAACCTTTAGCACCCCCATATGTTGTGAACTACATCTCCCTTGATGCTTTGCCAGCATTACGCCTGTAAGAGCATTATGGGAGATGTAGTCCAAAACATCTGGAGTGTCGAAGGTTGCCTACCTGTGGCGTAGGTGGTACAATCCCCACGGCAGTATTCTATATCCAGGGACCATGAAATAATAGGATAAAGTATATGGCAACACCAGAGGGTTGAGGCCAAAAGAATAACTTTATTGCTATAAAACAATTAAAACAAATAAAAGTATTGAATGCACAAAACTGCTGAACTAAAATGAATATGTGAGGATAGACTGCAATAGGGTAAGGCAGTGTTTCCCAACCCAGTCCTCAAGGCACACCTACCAGTCCAGGATTTAGGGATTACCCAGTTGTGTCTAAGGTGTTTTTTTTCTTCTTTGTAAAAACACCTTAGACACAACTGGGTAATCCCTAAATCCTGGACTGGTAGGTGTGCCTTGAGGACTGGGTTGGGAAACACTGGGGTAAGGGAAGGATAAACTATAATGAAAAAGTGTCAGAGCCTAGCTGAGTCACGTGACCTGAAAAACGTAGCTTCACATGACGGGAAAAGGACACACAAGGATCATTGGGTAGTGTATGCTTAGAGGCGATTAGGCACAAGTATAGCATTCCAAAACACAGTGTATATAGTGTATGATGGGCCGTGATCGTGGGTCACGTGGTGATCCATGGTGGCCATATTGGATGTGGGCAAAGTATGGGAAAAGAAAAAAGAGCACAGAACTTAGTTTTACATTTAGTTTTGCTGTAATTATGTGGGCAGTGAAAACTTATGAATAGCATTTTGAAAGAAACTATTTTAGTTTCTATGAAGAAAGGAACCGTCACAGATTCTTGGTTTTGTAAAACAAAAACCAACAAAATAACCTTCATGTAACTTTGTATAATACAATGCTACTACCAAGAGGTACTAAATCTATATTGAAGTTTCAATGTGATAATATGCAAAGTGTGTTTTATATATTTGAGTTTTTTAATTTCCAGAAATACGTCCAATGTAAGTTCTATAGTCAATGGAGGATATTTATCAAATATTCTTAAATGAGAAGGTTAAATTACTTCAGTATTGTGATCATATTTAATAAAGTGACCTGAAATATGACCAATTTCTTCACAGTAAATTCTGCCATTTTTTTCAGAAATTTCCATTTTAGAATACTGTAAAATTTACAGTGGTGGGAAAAAAAAGAGATGTGAAACTAAACACTTTTCTGTCATATAAATTGGTGTAACAGTTCACAAAGCTGTTCCTTCCGTGAAAGAGTGGAGGATATTAAAAAAAAAATAACAGTTACAGTGCGAGAAAAGCAACAGATGAAAAAAAACACAACAGGTTTAGTCAATTACTCTAGAAATTCTCAAAGAATTAGACAGAAAGGTGTCTTAGACACATTGATAAACATCCCCCATTGTATTCATACTATAAGGATCAATATGTGGCACCGAATTCATAATTGCAATTACAAGAAGATAAATTAATATGCATATAATGCACACACTGTTGAACCAACATTTTAATAATTAAATTTTAACAATTCCACTCTAGATGTTTTTTTTGTGAAAAAAGTGCTATGATGTCTCTGACTTTCATACTCTTGATTAAACGTAAGGTTAAAAAAAAAATGCTTGTGTTAATTTGCATGAGATAACATTGTTCCATATTACATTACTGATAGCATCGCTTGATAGAGCATCATAAAACATTGATTATAAAATGATCACTTCAAACATTCTGGTCCTTAGCATTCTGCTACTTTGAATGAATGTTCCATATATTAACGGAAATTCAAGCCATTAAAGGAAATGAAAGAATTTGTCCATTTTACGAAACCGTATCCCTTCTTTTTGTACTTCTCATCCTTGACTTTATATCTCTTCCACCAGTTCACGTTTCCAATTAGATTCAAAAAACAATGTAGCATTTATTTTGTGTTGGGAGAAGGTGCTAGAGCAGATTGGAAATGCATTGAGATACTTCTCGTAAATATTTTTTTTTAGCAACTTACCAGTGTAATTGGCTTCCTTAAAAAGATTAAATCACATTTAAAGTGAAGAATATCCATTCAGAGTGTCCTTTGAAAGAAGCAATACCATTTTATTTCTAAATGGGACAGTTGTAATTCTGGTGAAAGCACAGCCCCTCGGATGAGGAGAACCAGTGTTTGTTTTGATATCTGTAACCGAGCTCTATGCTATAAATGAGAGAGGGAACCTCAAACATTCGAAAACCTAAGGCCAAGCTGTGCACTTTGTGCAATCATCGAGAATGATCATATCAAAAGAACAAAGGGACAACTGACAAGGACCCATCATTTCTATAGCAGCCAATTTTATTGTTTTCATTTTATTTACCTTAGGGATTATTTTGACAGTTTAGCCTCCGAAGGGTTGGAATGTCAGCGGAGAGACAATAAATAACAGGTTACTATGTCTTTATCTACACAACAATACTCAAAGGTTTTTGGGACATTATGCTCAAATACAGAGATATTTTTCCATGTTGTTGCTATGTTTAAGAACTTGTATTGTTTGTGAAAATTCTATTTGAGACCCCATGTGAAATACTAAAAGATAAGGAGTGCTTGGAGTATCTATTGTATAGTGTCTTTGGAGAGCCCGTTTGATATTGTCTCTGAAAATGTATCAAATAGCTACTAAGGACTAAGACTCGGGGTCGGAGCTTATGGAGGTAAACTCCTTCCAGGTAAGCAGGCAAGGGAATTTGGCAAACTAGTTATGAGTTGTAGTTGACACATTGTGCTTATTTATTGAGTGGACTTGCACAAATAAACACCTTTTACAGCAAAATTATGGCAAAATTCAATTTCCTATGGGTCGTATATAAAAAACAATTTCTAGTCATCAATTTTACATCTACTAAGAACACAGGTAAGGTCTTGTTAGCCAGGTGCCACCAGTCAAGCTATCTAAAGTAGTCTAATATCAGCGTAACAATTTTAATGAAAGGGCCATTTTAACCAAAATAATAATAACTAAAGTGCTCTGTACAGGTTATGAAGCCAGCAATGCCCTGGGACTGTACAGCAATAAGTAGTCAAACCATTTTATTATAGTTTAACTGTTATCTGGTTCCCCTAGGCTTCCTCCATCTATTTGGTCTTCTCTGATTGTAAGCGTGTAAGCTCACGGGTTATCTTGCTAATCACTTTGTATAAAAGTACTGTAGAGTGTAAGCTCATGGGCAAGGTCTTCTGTTCGTTTTGTGAACATGTTCATTATTTGTGTGTACTCCCTCTGTTGTACAGAACTGGCACTATATATGTAAAATAATAATATTGTTCAAACAAGAGTTACCATTCTGTTTTAGTAATAAAAATGTTATCTATACTGGGACATACCTTTTTTTGACTGAGAGCATCAATTACTCACAGCCAATGAATGATGTCCAAACTTGGACCAAATTAATATTGCTAAAGCATAATGAGAACTTCTGCAGGGGTCCTGAGGGATCCAGTAAAAAATAAAAGTTTTTTTTTAAAAAAATTTGACTCCTTCTCATGGGACAGCACCAGAGGAATTATTCACGATAATCATATTGATGCACAGAGTGCCCCTTTATCCCTCCAACAGCAGAAGGGTGTGATGCAATGCTATATTCTGTCTTGCTAAAAGGACAAAGTAATGAAATTCAAAAAAACAACACAAATAAAATCTGAGACTT